TGCTCATTTTCTACCTTGTTATTTATTTAGCTTTCTTATTCTTATGTTAGTTTTATTTATCCTTTTCTTTCCTCTATTTTTTTTTTAAGTTTTTGAGCTCCAATTCCTCCCTACCTTATTATTTAAGATTTGCCTTATTGAGATTTGCCTCTTTATTAATCCCATTCTTCCTTGATTTCTAATGTTCCACTCTTGTTCTTATTATTTGCCTGTTTATTTGTTTTTTATTTTCTATCCTATTTTTATTTTTATTCTCTACTGGGGTCTTCCCTCCCTTCCTATTGGGACCTCAAACTTAATTGTTGCCTTCACTTCTGTTATTCGCTGCTCTGGCCCATTAGTCTAAACATAATACATATAAATGAAAAGAAAGGGGTCTAGTTTGATGAGGGCTTTTTTAAAGCATCTAGGCTTTTGCCTCATTTTTTAAAAAAATCCTGTGAGGTTTGTGAAGCATCGGACCAAACTGTCTGATACAATAGTTTACACTTTCCCCAATAAAATTCTGTGGATCACTCAGACTATCACATGAAAAGTTCTAATCACCTGTAATGGGCTCAATAGCTATGGAAGAGGGTATACCAAGTGAGTTTTATAGCCATGGTTTTCAAAAGAAGTGACAAAAGAGAAAATTAAACTGGCAATTCATAGCTTTGTTTAATTGAAAGAAAAAGGTTGAGTGCAGCACCTTCTGAATCAAGATAATTGTAGCTTACATAATGAAACCCATCTCTTTAATGGAAATGGAAGACAGTGGAGAAGGGGGAAGAAATTAACATACCACTTGAAGGGACTAATTAGTTCATAAAACCCATTCCTTTGCAGACACCTATTCCATGCACCATTAGAGACAGTTGAATCCAAAGAAAGTTTAGATGGCTTTTCAAAAAACACATTTCTAAACATTAGTTAAAATCAGATTTTTTCCCCCCCTATAGTCCTCCATATGTGTTGGAAACACTCATATAGCCTTGTGTCTGAACATTATGAGAACCAAAATTCTAACTATTTGTAAGATACCAAGTTGAAGAAGAACAAAAAATACACTACTTGGGGCATTACTAAATGTCCCCATGGACACTCAAGCCTTGGTTACTTCTTGAATGGACTACTGCAATGCACTGCATGTGAAGCTGCATTTGAAATACATCTAATAAATAGTGTTGTTTCCTTTAGAGTTCCTCAATTTCAGCCAGGAGACAAGGAGATGGAGAAGGGGGGGGGGAAATGTCAGCAGCCTTTTTAACAAATGTCATTAAATTTTACCATTATTTTATGAACATAAGTCTTAATGTAATATCCAGTAATTATAGGTATCAATTGGGGTAATCAGTTGGGGTAATCAGTGCCCTGGGATGAAGCACATATAAAACATGCAGGTCCAAGGTTTGTTTGCAACAATTAAATAATATTTTTAAGACTATATTCAAGAAGTGTTTTCAGGAAAAGTCAAACAAATTAAACAAACAAACAAATTAAAATGGCAGCCATGACAATGCAATCCAAGCCCCATTCTGTTTGAACATGTATTGATGTCACATAAAGGCTAAGTTATTCTGGAATCAAACTTGGCATCCAATCCTGCCAAGTGAGAATTAATTAGCAGCAGAAGATGACAAGTAGGCCTGGATATTGTTTAATTAAAGGTAGTATCCATCCTCATTACCTTTGCTGATCATTCTAATAAATTCATGTGATGGTGGTGGAGGTACAGAATGGAGCTATATGCCCTGCAGTATAAAAGGCAAAGTGGAACAGAAATTTCCCAATACAATCCTTTATCTATTCTCAAGGTAGTGTTTTGCTCCAGCTGCAATTTACTCAGCTAGTGCAAAAATACAATGATTAGTGTGAATAGAATGATATTCGGGAACACTAATTAATCATCATACAGTAGTTAGGGGTTTTTAATCTTTTTCTGAATCTAATAGTTATCTGAATTTATCCATTACCCATTTGATATTACTTGTACATTTCTGTCTTTTCTGAAACATGCCTATTTATTTAACATTTCTTTCTTCTTCTTTACTGTTTTTTCTTACCAATATTCAAAACGAAATTTGCTTGTATGTAAGAAATTACTGCAGTGGTCTGATAATTTACATATTCTCTTGAGTTTTCATTAGTATCCTATAACTAAATTTTTACACTTTCTAGCCCACAGGTTTTGTTCCATATTTGCTGTTGTACAGCTAATAGCATTTTAACAGGCATTTCTACCGTACTTTAAAGAAGCCTAATGGGTAGTCTAATGGGTGTTTCATCTGCATAAGGAGCTTTCCTGTCTGACCATTTATTGCCTGTCATAGCTCCTTTTTAGCGGAGGTTTCAAATAGCTGCTTGATATAAAACTCAAATAGGAACCTTATATTACCTTGCAAAAGAGCTAAGCAATATTGAATTGAAATTAGTAATGTAATTCAAAAAAATCCTGAAAATTAATCTAGAATTTAAACCAGAAACTTTTTTGTTAGGGTTTATGGATAAAACATTGGGGGGAAATCATATCTTTTTTAAAAAAAAAAATGTTCACCTTTCTTTTGAGAAGGGAATGGGAATGGATATTATATTACAGTTGTAAACTATAAGTTGAGTGTAAGCATTCTTTATATCCTTGGAAGTTATTCTTCGTATATATTTTGTTTTCCTTTCTTTTTCTTTATGCCTCATTGCACCTCTATTCCTATTCTCTGTTTATATATTTTTTTTCTTGATTGTTATTTATGTAATTTTTATGGGTACATTTTGTAAAATTTAATACAATAGTGACTCAGATAAAAGCACAGTATAAAACAATTTAGAAACAGTAAAAATGTTAAGCATTTTCAGACCTTTCAGAAGGCCAAGGGGATGGAGGCAGATCTCACCTCAAGGGACATGTGTTATGGTTCCGGCTAATGAAACACTTCAAAGAACTTCCAGGCATTGATTTCCCTAAAAGTCTTTTATTGATTCAAAATGTCGGCACAGGCATAATGAATTCTATGCTAAGATCTAAGTTCTCTTCCTCTGAGCAGTTAAATTATCAGCAAGTTCCCTCCCTAAATTAGCTATCATATATCACATTATCCAATTAGTGTGAAGGTCAAAGGTTTCCTTCCTCTTTCTTTCCCAGGCTTTACCCCCACCCTCTTCTGCTCTGTATTAACCCCAAAAATACCAGACAGTTCTGCATATTGTCAAAGCAAGAATATACAGTATTTGCAGTGTTGACAACATGATATCCAAAAAGTAAGAGACATGGCAGAAAAGGTTCTTCTCCTGAACCCACCAGTCAAAATTCCTTGGCCAATAGGATCCATAGCATGCCCCTTCTGCCAGCGCAAGTGGGACAAGCTAATTCTCAGGTGGCCTGGATCATGCCATAACAGTCTTTAAAAGCAATAACCAAACCTTGAATTAAACCCAGAAGCAAACCAGCAATGAGTACAATTTATGCAATTGTGCTGTTACATGGCCCACCTGAAAATTATCTAGAATTGTCCAGACTGCTGATTCTGTGCCAGTTGTAGCTTTTGAATATTCTTCAAGTGTAAACACATGTAGAGTGCATTGCAGTAGTCCAAATGTGAGATCACCAGGTTATGAGTAATTGAGTGCAGAGCCTCGCGATACAGGAAAGGATGCAGTTGGCTCACAACACAAAGTCTCTCCTAACCATTACTGTCCCCTGTTCTTCAAGCAGAAGTTGTGAGTCTAGGAGACACCCCACCCCCAGGTTGCTCATGTCTGGGTAGTGCAACTAATTAATTGACAGGCCTTCCTACTTCATTTATGAAAAGAAAAGCAAGTACATTTTTACCATTAGACACACATAGCCCATTAATTTGTTCACATATATTTGGGTAAATCTTCTTGATGGTTTGAAATCTTGTTAGGACACTATGGGACCAGTTGCAAGAAGTTATTTTTGAAACTATTAATAAATTCAGTCAGAAACTTCAAAAGCCTTATGTTCACCATGGTGTCAAATCAGCTTTACAGAGTAAACACAAACTGTCCCAGAAAATTCTGAAGTAAAGTCAACTTTGTCAGTAGTACCCCAATAAAATTGTATTCAAGGACTTTTGCCTTAGATTGATTGAATTAAATAGTAAGAACTGGAAAGGTGCAGACAAAGTAAGCTGCCTTTCCAATGGGCAAAATTATACCCCTATCTTATACCTATAAGATAAAGTTTTTGGAATGTAAACTCCACACTTATCTTAAATGAGGAAAATAATATGTACATTTCCTAACAGTGGTGATATGTTGAAAGTTTTGGAAATTTGTATTGCATTTGAACTATTTTGCAAAGTGATATCACGTGTTGTTTGCAACTCAAAAAGTAGAGAAAATTAATGTTTGAAGTGCTTATCTGTGAAAACTTTTAGAAAATATTGACTTGTTCAGATTCTTAAACTGATTCCTAATGCTTGCTGAATTTTGCATACATCTTAACTTCAAATAGTAATCTAATGTGATGCTTCAGTGTAACACTTCAAGTGGAAATACTGTAAGACAATTTAAACCAAAATCTGTCTTCTTGACTGCTATTTTTTTTCATTGAAAGCTACTCAGTATAGCCTAGACATACATTTTCTACCTTATTCTTAATGAACTTTCAATTATTCTTGTCAATGAATATCTCATAGCTTTGATATTCTGTGGCTTCCTCATACCATCCATTTTCCTGTAAATATTAATATTAGTTCCATAGAAATGTGGTCAAGTTTTAATTTCTTAGCTCATGGAGTATGAATTTTGTTTGGGTGCATTGTGAATTTTTTTATATTTAAAGTATTTTTTTCTTTTAAACTAATCTGATCCTTTAAATAAATCTAACCTTAATTTTTAGCAGTTTATAGACCTATTATTACACTAATGCTAAACTACTTCAACTTAATGATTAGTTCAGGTGCACCAAAATAGATTCAGATCTGACTGGAAGGACATCCTACTGCCATGTGTTTCTTTCAAAGGTCATATTCTATCATTGTTTTCCTTCACTGTTTTTTTAGCTGTTCACCTTTGGTTGGAGAGAAGACATCCGTCCAGGAGAACCTCTTCACAGCCGAAAATTCTGCTTCGATGCAATTTCACACAGTAGTCCTGTCACACTTTATGACTGTCATGGTATGAAAGGCAACCAGCATTGGAACTATAGGAAGGTTGGTCTTGCTTTGTGATACTTTAAAGGCATGTGGTGATCCAGATGACTATGAAGAAATTCCAACATTCATGTTAGTAGAATCAATAGTGAAATACTTTATTTTTAACAGTTTATTTAAAAAATGCTATTTGGTATACAAAGAGCAATAGTGACAAGCCAGTGTGGACAATAAGCAGACAAAATACATTAGATCCAACCATGTGAAATCAAATCCCAATTACACACTTACACAATTACCCAGATACATGAATAAATTTACTGTGTGGGTTACATATTTTGTAACATTTCCAATAATACCAATAACACTAAGACTTGAATATGACTTCATAGTGCTTTACAGCCTTCTCTAAGCAATTTACAATCTGGGTCTTCATTTTACCAACCTCAGAAAGATAGAAGGCTGAGTCCACCTTGAGCTGGTCAGGAATGAACTCCTGGCAGTAGACAGAGTTAACTACAATACTGCATTCTAACCACTTTGCCTCACAACTCGTGTAAACATTTCTTACTATGATCAGGATGAAGTTAGAATAACGTTTATATATGGGATAAAGATGGGGTTAGAGTTAGATCACCCTGGGGTTCACAGAAAATGTAGTATGTTAATTTAAATATGATTTTGTATCATTAGTAAAAGTGTTAGGTTTATAGTATAGTGGCAATTGTCTTTTCTTATAACATTGTGGCAGTGAGGATGAAGTGGTACATAATCTTAAATTTCTTTCAAATCTGTTGTTCAATTGAGTTTAGTAGTAGCTTTACTGTGAATGTTTATGACCAGGTGCAGGTTAACAATTTCATTAAATTGTGGACTATTTCAAGTAAAAAGTTATATTGGCTAGAGGGTGAACTTGGGCTTACGCTTCTTTGAATGTTAATCTAGGATGCATTTTACAGTAGATGCTTGCTTGCTTGCTTACTTGCTTACTTGCTTGCTTGCTTGCTTGCTTGCAGGACTAGAAATTATGGTCTCCTGCTTTCTAACCTGGTGCCTTGACCACTAGACCAGGGCTTTTCAACTAGTGGTACGCATACCACTGGTGGTACTTCAGCACCGGGCAGGTGATAACGTGTACAATGGGTTGAAAAGCACTGTAAAAAAAGTGTAAAAAAATGTGTAAAAGTGGATGAAGTGAAGCGGCAGCAATGCCGAACAGGCCTATGGGAGAGTCAGCTGGAGCTGCATGAGGTATCACCAGGACTGTGCTGAGAGCCCAGGATTGGTGTGTGCTGCTCCAACTGATCGGTAGCAGCCTTGGGAGTGGCAGGCAGCTGCATGCAGTCTTAGGACTGCAGCTACAGCTGATCGGCAGCAGGTCTAGGATCTTTTGCCTCCTACCCTTAGCCACACCTCCTTCTTCTTGAGCCTCCCACCTCCTCCCATTTGCCTCCAGCGTTCTTCCTCAGAGCAGCATGCGATTGCCAATAGGTGATTGCAGCGGCTTGGGGGGGATGCGGCTTCTGCTGTTGAACTGGGGGCATGGGGGACATTTTGGGGTGCTAGTTGGTTATTCCCCCAAAGATTCCCTAACCTTAAAACAGTTCTTGGATGGCAACAATTACCCAGCATGGGGAGCCCCGGAGAAAGAGATGCCATCAGTACTAACTCCCAAGAATGAGGGGCTCAGAGGCAGCTACAAGCAGGGGAGGCAGGGAGGGAGGGGGGACATGGAAAGGAAATCAAACCTGATTGACAGGGAGCATAGTAGCCCTGCCGTACTCTGCAGAGGACAGATCCCCATCATCCCCAGCCCTGCAGGAGTCTTCTTGTCCCACTGTTGCAGACAAAAGGGGGCTCTGGTTAGTAGTAGTAGTAGGAGGAGGAGGAGGAGGGTTTAAGCAAGCTTAGCAACCAGAGTGGGGACCCCCCAAAAAACAAACATTCTTCATGGGTAACCTCCCAGCATGAAAGAAGTGACCAAAACCTGCTGCATCCATCCCACAGATGGGGGTGGGGGAATAAAAACCAAACAGCCCCCCCCCCCGCTGTCAATCCTCAACAGAAATGCTTATGACAATGAAAACCTTGGATAAGAGGAAGTGCGTGGCCGGGCAGACAGGTGGGTGTCTTGCTCGGCTATGGGTTGGGGGAGCAAAGGGGGCAGCTTCACCCCCCAAACACTGTCTTCTCATGAAAGCAGGATAAAAACTCTTAAAAATGACAAGGAAAAAAAAGTTAAAACAGAAAAGTGTCTTGCAATGGTTTTCTTCCCCACTTCCTTCTATCAGTTTAAATAAATAAAGATCACAAACTGGCTTTCTTTCATTTTAATTCAGAAGGGAGGATTGGAAAGATTCGTAGGGAGGGTTGTTTGTTTCAAAGCAAGGGAAAGAAGGTATTTGGGTCTGTGGGGGCCCCATCAGGTGAATGGTGAGGGCGTGCAGCTTCTGGGGAAGGCAGTCTTTTTAAAAGAGCAAAACAAGGCAAAAAATAAAAATCCCCCAGTCCACCCCCAAGACCTGGATGCAGATGTGATCTTTTTTTTTCTTGTTCAGAAGAGATACTCTTCTATTTTAACTTTTTTTCTTTGTCATTTTTTGGAGTTTTCATCCTGCTTTCATGAGAGCACAGCATTTGGAGATGGTGAAGCTGCTCCTCCCCCCCCCCAAGCCACAGCCAAGCAAGACACCTACCTGCCCAGGTTTACTATGCTCCCTGTCAATCAGTTTGATTTCTTTTCTTTGCCCCCTCCCCCCTGCCTCCCCTGCTTGTAGCTGCCTCTCAGCCTGTGATGACCCAGGGCACAGCACAGAGGCAATGCAGTCAGCTGGCAATTCAAACCGCCCTTTATTTGCTCCAAATTTTCCCCAAATGTTCCCATGTTTCTGGCAAGCCTCCAAGCAAAGGAATACACACACACCTTTGGCTGCAAGTAGTTTCACATACAATCTGAGTAGGAGAGGATTTTACTCAAGGCCACGGAGATCAGAAAGAATGACACATACATCATAAACCTAACGAGTCTGTGTGAATACATGCTTGCCTCAGCAGTCTCAGAAGGAAAGCCAAAATACAGTCTGAGTTCTTTAAACATCCAAGCAACGTTATCAGTCAGTCCAATGTCAGCGCTTCCGGGTTTCCAAGCAGAAGTCACAGAATAAGAGATCAGCAACACCACACACAAAACTCTAAGGAATCAGCGTTTGTTCCCAACAAATACCTCTCCCCACAGTGTCTCCTTAAATCTAATTCTCCAGGTGTGCCTTGTGGAGAGGGGTGGGATGCTCTCCTCCCAAATAGTTGAACCTGCCTGTGTTGTTCCCTCCTTCTCTCCACTCTCCGGCTCTAGGATCAGGTGGAAGTGGCCCTTGCTCATCGCCTGAACTCTGTCTCTCCTGTTCCTTCTGTCCCACTCCTGAAAGGCTCTAGCCTGCCTCTCCTGCTCTTCCCCACATTCCTCTGAAGCCACAGACACCTCTCCCTCGACCTCCATAGGGTCCCGTTCCAGCTCATTTTCCTCCATAGATTCAGGCTCCTCATTCTTCAGCATTGCCGGCATCTCTTTCTCCTGAGCCCCTGTTGGGTAACTGTTGCCACCCAAGAGCTGTTTTAAAGTTAGGGAATCTTTGGGAGATAGCCAGCTGGCACCCTGACATGCCTCCCATACCTCCACTTCAACGGTAGAAATTGCACACACACCCAAGCTCCAGCAATCACCTATCGGCTTCTTTGAGTCAACCAGAAGGAGAGAAGGGGATAGAATAGTGCAAAGATTAATGTCAGAGAAACAGGCACAAGATTCCCATTAAAAGTGTGGTAAGTGGGTGTACAGACAGTCATCAACCTACAACCACAACTGAGCCCAAAATTTATGTTGCTAAGTGAGAAATGTGTTAAATGAGTTTTGTCCCATTTTATGACTTTTCTTGCCACATTTGTTAAGTGAATAACTGCAGTTGTTAAATTAGTAACGCAGTTCTTAAATGAATCTGGTTCCCCCATTGACTTTGCTTGTCAGAAGGTTGCAAAAGGGGATAACTTGACTCTGGGACACTGTGACCATCATAAATATGAATCAGTTGCCAAGCATCTGAATGTAAATCACAGGACTCTGGGAATGCTGCAACGGTCTTAACTCACTTTTTTCAATGCCATTGTAACTTCGAACAGTCACTAAGCAAACTGTTGTAAGTCAGGGACTACCTGTATTTTATCAGTTTTTTTCTTCTTTTTTTTTTTGGTCATCAAGTTTTTAACACCTTGCTAGGTGACTTGTGGTACTCGAATATTGCTATATCCTAAAAGTGGCACATTCTGTGAAAAGGTTGAAAAGCCTTGCACTAGACCAAACTGGCTTGAATGCTTAGGAAAATTCTGGATAAAAAAATTATTTTGTAATTACAGTAAAGTTAGGGTTAGGTTTCATTAGTTAATGGTTAATTTTATCATAATGGTTAAAAGAAATTTCATATTTTGCAATAATTGGGATTACAACTACAACATTGAGCTACATGGTATCAGGATTAGTTTTGGGGAGAGTAACAATAAGGATTATTGTTACTTTTAGGTTTCTGTTATAATAAACATTTTATCCTTTGAATTAAAAAATCCTATTGGCATTTAGTAGGCAAACTCTTCCTCCAGATATTCAATGTAATAATTTTAAATTTAGTTATAGTCTTACAGTTTATCCATATAAATACGAAAATATTTCTATGGCCATCAGGTTGAAGCCTGGATTAGCATTTGACTTCCTCTAGGCCTATCAATAATTTGATTTTAAGAATTACTGTTAAGGTAGCTTTTTTGTTTAATGGTAGATTGTGATTCCTTTGAATTGGGATTACCTATGTTGGTGACACTCAATAGAGTAACTCTACTAATCAAGGCAAAATTTTCTCACAGAATATGCATATAGTACTTTTCATCTTCCTTGAGATCTGCCATAAATTAATATTTCAGATTTCATATTTCCATAATTAACAGTTGATTGTGGTTTTGCATTCATTGTGCATGAGGAATGCATTTGTTTGTATGTTTATTTGATTTTTATCCCT